TACTCTCCCCCCCCCCCCCCCCCCCCCCTTTTTGGCTCTGAGACTCTAATTTTTCTCTTTTCCATCCATAAAAAATGAAGTCTTCCTTTTTATTTATTGAGCACTTTTTAGTGTGTGAAGATGATATTGTACTTACTGAGCTATAAAGGTGGGCTTTATGTTTCTTGTTCTCTCTCCAACTGTTGGCATTCAATTTATTACACTATTTTTTGGTACGCAGGTAGCGGACGATTCAACTCTATATGGCTGCTGTGTTTTAGTTGAAGAAATAATCCAAAATCCTTCAGGATTGATTTGCATGATTTTGGATAGACAACCTTGCCGACCAAGTCTGAGCCGCCATATTTTAACCACGCGTCGTTGTTATTGCATTCTTTCCAGGCTTCCATTTTTTGAATTGCATTTCAGCGTATTGTATAGGTGCGTGAATAATTCTTCAGTTTATGATGCTGCAAATGGGATCACTCCTAGTTTGAAATTACGTTCATAATTAAGTGATTAATTTGTTACATGAGCTTGCAATGCAGAAGGCAAGGCGCCTAACACTGAACAAAGAAAAGAGAATGAAAAGGAAACAAAAATACGAAAAAGGAAAAACAACCAAAGCGCCCCATGGGGGGGGAGGGGGGTGGATAGAGAACCTATAATTAGCTGTTTCATATAAAATGTATGGAGCTGCCTAGGGCTCTACACTCCTCTCAACTTCTGTGATGGATACACCAGTTTTCATCGTTAATTGGTATAGCAGAGACTAGTTTGTGTAGTTTAGAATGTTATTTTGCATTCAGGTTTCAGTGCCTTTTATATAGTGCTTGATTTTTGATGCATGCTCCAACATTGAGGACAATAACGATTCTGAGGTGAATATACCTTTTTCTGTCATGAATTAATTTTCGGACATTAAGAACACGAGGTTTTTTTGAAATTTTTTGTATGAATTAAAGATATAAAGAATTGGTATATGGCTGTTGAAGTCTTGTACTATTATTTTGTTTGATTATTTATCCATGTGCTATATAAACTTTCAGTTTAGATTGTCAAACACTGACAGGAAGCAGAAATTACTCTTTTAACTGCTCATTTTGATGTTTTGTTTCGCCTTATGTTTTATACTGTAGCATATTCACTGAAGAGAGGCTGGAACGGTTGACAAAACAGATTGCATATCTAGATTTGGAGACACCAGTTGACAACGACGTGGTTGAGACCCTAGAAGACAAATCAGGTGGTATATTACTAAGAGATGGAGCAGTTAACATGTTGAATGGAACGGTTGAAGCATTCCAATCAAACACGAATTATTCCATCTCAGGAAGAGTGATGGATAATATGTCTCAAATTGAGGGGGTCATTGACTCGAAAAATGAACTTAATGGCACTACTGGTGCAGTTGATCCTGAAACAGAGAAGCTTGCTTCTAGGAGAAAATTGGTTGTTGATACTTCTGTTGACGACCATTTTATTGAAAAACAATCAGCTGAAAAGTGTTTACCGAATGTTGTTTTACCAATACTACAGTATCGGCATTGTGAAAGGTATGTTTCTTCATCCAGGTATTTAATTACTGTTTTTTGCTCCATGGAATTTCATAGTAGATGCCATTGGCATAACCAAATCTCTTGTTTGGTTCCTATGTCTGTGTGATATCAAATCATACTTAAGATTAATCCTGATTTTCCAACCTTTTAAAAGCCATTATAAAGAACTTGGTACTATCATCTGCTGTTCTCAAGCATATTTGTAGTTTCTTTTTCGACATAATCTGATGTCATCTTCAACCCATGCTATCTCATGTCTAGAACTGTGTGGAATGGTGCATGTAAGATTTTCCTTTTGCTCGTCTTCTTTGTGTGGACACTCAGAACACTCATCTGCTGAGGGGACCTTTTCTAATCGCAGCATAACTACCTTGTCTTTCCAATGTCTTCTAATTTTTTTCTCCAGGACTTCTCCAGGTTAGCGATAACGCTTATGAACTCTTGTTGTAGTTTGCAAGGCTCTCAAAGTGAAGACAGACATTTCAAAAGTGATGGTGATGAGGCACCTACGGAAGAGACATCATTTTCTGGCCAAGATATCTCCATCGAACACATTGATATACTTGAGTGGGCAAAGGTTGTAATCCAGTTGTCCATTGCACATTTCATTTATTTCAATCTCTCTTCCATATAGTTACTTAGATCTATTGAAGTCTCTCCTTGTCTGTTCACCCACTTCTCCATTTGCAGGCTAACAATCATGGTTCCTTGCAAATTATTTGTGAATACTACCAACTACACCGTCCAGCACGAGGTTCAACGGTCAAGTTCCACCCTTTAGATCACCTGCATCCTATGGAATATCATAGACCTGATGAAACTGTTTTATGCATTGCCGGATCAACAATTGATTTGAGAACGTGCAATACGAGTTTGGAATTAGCAGAGGTAGGATGGCTTGGATTTTTTTTCCCTTTCTCAAGAAAGCAACTTCCTTGATTAAGTGCAAAAATAAAAAAAACATAATATCAATATGAAATGGGAAAAGTTATCTGGAATTAGCTGAGGTGGGCTTGAGTTTGGAACATAGGATTGGTTCTCTTTTCTGGTCTTTTAACTCCTTTTTCTTTCTAAAATGAATAACCTTTCCTCTCGTGCCTAAAATACATTATTTTAAAAATTATAATGTAATTAGACATAGACAAAATTATCTGCAAGGAACTACATGGACAAACATTTTTTTTTTTTTTTGTATTGGTAAGGTAAAAATTACATATGACATGCACTAATATGAGTAAGTTTATGTGTGTGTTCATATATTATATGATTTGTACATTTTCTTTCGCCTAAATGATCAAAACTTTTACCTTGCCTTCACTTAAAAAGTTGCAGTACCCTCATCCTTGGTTTCCAAAAGAAATGTGCGTGTCGGGGAAACTGTGACCTGCTCATTTGTTCTACTACTTTACACTGTAAAGTTTTCATGTCGTCCTCTCTAGTAAAGCTCTTATCTTTATTATCTTGCATTGGTTTTTCTTTTAGGCCCACAGTGCACTCATGGCGGAGGAGGAGGCAGCTGCTTTATCAGTATGGGCTGCTGCATGCTTATGTGGTTCCTTGCGACTGGAGCATGTAAGTTCATCACACAATGCAGAAATTAAATTTCTTCCAAGGGAATACTGATTCTTATGGCTTCCAAAATCCAAACCACTAGAAGTCTGTGAGTTTATGAAGTATGACTTGTGAAAATTTTGCTTTCACTGGCTGTGGTCCTCAAAGGAGGTTAGAATTAAAAATGAAAAAAATATATATATATGTATATATATAATGCCAAGTGATATCTGTCAAAGTGTCCAAAATCGACTCAAAGATTCTTCAACACCATCACCAATGAAGTCTTTGACGTTGAGCACAAATTTGTGCCATGCCAGATATATATATATATATATTTGAAAGCAGAAATTATATTCTGTATATTGAATTGAATAACCCATATACAACTACTCAATCTATAGCACAACCGGGATGAGAGAGAAGGAAGGAATCTCCTAAATTAGGAGAGGAGACAATCAACCTAATTACAGTCTAGCTAAGTATGGTAATATCTAAATATGATACAAGAATAAATTAATTACAATCTTTTAGGATTTCTACAAATTCATATTCTATGAAAAGGTTCAAAAAGATGTAATCCATGATAATCGTCACCTTGCTTAAAATGTTCAGACAGACACAATGTAAATTACACACTTAGCAAGGAGAGTCTATGGTAAAGAATGTAGAGCATGTTTGTCTATGCTTAAAAAGTTCGCTGATAACAAAACTACTAAAGAAGTTGGTTTTAACCAAGTGATCAATGGAAAATAAGTAAGTTACTTATTTTGATATTAAGTTAAGAGTTACTTTCAAAATAACTAACTCATCTACACGTGTTTAGACACAGAAGTACTATTTAAGCGTAGGGAAACATGCTTGTAATAACTTCCTGGTTTCTTTGTTTCAATACTTAGCACCTGCATCATTACATGCATACTTGAGAGGCCACCCGTACCATCAGACATATCTATAGATCATCCTGGTTGCTGAGATTTCATTTGGCGACTTTTAAGACGTGTCATAAACAATATTAGGTTACTTAAATATTGCTTATTACTATTACCATTTGCAGGTATTAACATTATTTGCTGGAGCTCTACTGGAGAAACAGATTGTTGTTGTTTGTTCGAATTTGGTAGGTGTTATTTCGTCCCGTTGCATGTGGAATCGTACATTCTTTTCTTGTGAATCTATGCTAGAACTACATTGCCTTGAAGATTGAGTATTTATTAGGTATTCTCTATCTTAATTGTTTCTCATCAATGTCTTAGTCATTTGGTCCGATAGTGTTTTGTATCAATATCTTTTTACCATTAGTTCGTAGCTGAAGGCCATCCTCTTGATTACTTGAACAATGTGATATAACGTATAATTAGATATAAAATTATGAGTGTATTGTTATTGGTAGTTTGGTCTGGGCAAATTTGACGATAACTTCAAGTATTTCTTATAAAGCCTCTTAAGATGGATTTTGTGGTGGGATTCAATGTAGATGAGGTGGGAGTGATTTTGGTAAAGGTTTTGATTGGTTTTCTAAAGAAAGCAATAGGTGCTAGTTAACACATCACAACCAACTTGGTGCGATGTAGAAAATAATCTTAAGTAACCGTTTCACCCTTCTGAAGTATATACAAACCACATGACACAATTTCAATTTCTTATTATGGTCAATTATATTGCAATAAAGATATCATATAATTATTTGAAGACCTAAAAGATAACCTAAGATTGAGAATGGTTGAAGATTCTTCTTGACTAACTAGGAATCTTTTTAAACAAGTAACAACATATATGTTAAACCCTCAGAATGAAGACCGCGAACCTAGCTAATTATTGGTGAAGTGCAAAGCAACATGTGAGGAAATAACGAAGCAGAAGGCTCGCCTAAACCTTACGAACCATCTTCCATTTCTAGATTGGCTACATGTTGTCAATAAATGGCATGTGGGCTAGTTAATAAAGCGTAATTCTTAACCGAATCAATTACAAGACAACCAATAAAGAGTCGCCATCTATAAATACTCTGTCATTTGAAGAACATACAATTCAAATAGCTATTTGTCTTTCTACTCCTATTTGAGTATCAAAATTAGAGAGTTTAGGAAGTTAAAATCATAACTAGATAAGTAGGATTTGTTGATTCGAATTCTATCGTTAAAAAATTGGCGCCGTGTCACGCGTTTTCTATAACTTGAATTATACCGCAAGTGTACGGTGTCAAGTTTTATAATATAGTATGAAAGTTAGGATGTCGAACCCGCAGGGATTGTAATTTAATTTCTACCAAGTACTATAATTGTATAACTTTTATTTTATCTAGACAAATGAATGGTTGGATTATTTTTTTAAACTAATCAAAGGTAAAATGCTATGACAAAATTAAAGAGTATAAATTATCAAAATGAGAACGCCTAAGGAATGATTTCACCAACTTTCAATTATATTCAATGACATCAAATTATTCCAATTAATTTTCCCATATTTAAAAGCAAAATCCAATTGTATTTCTCTCCCCTCTCTCGAGTGCCGACTAAAAATTAATCCTAGAATTCAATCTCAATATCTCTATTCTGAATCAAAGCCTAGAATTTATCAAAGTCCCGATTCTTTTATGGAATAAGCTTTATAGATTTTACACTTTCTCTCGAAACCCATAAAACCTCGTTGTGTCAATCTTATGATCAAGCCTACATTCCCCTCTTTCGAGTGCCGGAATTGACTAGCATCTATTCATTCAATTATTGATCAAGTAAATGAACATTAAAATCATGACACAANATATGTTCATCAAACCATAATTACAAGGGGCTACATCAAACCCTAGTTAAATTGTCTAGCTCATGAAGAAACTCATAAAATCTAAACAATCTAAAATGGAAGATATAAAGGAGAAGGTAAGAAAAACTCTTTTTGGAGTATTGCTTGAAGTCCCCTTTGATATTTCCATACTTTCTTCAATTGATTTCTTCCATTCTTTTTGTTGCCTCCTAAGCGTCTTCTCTCTTTTGAATGAGGTTTTCAAACTTGTATTTATAGCCTCAATAGATAATAACACGGATTGGAGTTAGGCCGGGCTGGGCCGGGCTGAAAAAATATAAAAAATTGCATTTTTTCCTTTTCTTGGGTCGCGGCGCGTAGGCGCCCGATTCGGGTAAAACAACATACTGCACCTTTGTTCAGTATTTTTATCATAACTTTTTCTCCTGATATCCGATTGAGATGATTCAAGATGCGTTGGAAAGCTAACGCAAATGACTACAATTTTGCTTCAGACATAATCCTCCAATTCAATTGTTTACTGTGTCAAAAGTGAGTCAATATGAGACAAAATCCGGAGCAAAACTTTTTCTATTGGAATTTGATGTGTGATCACTCTTTGGTTATATTTGATCCCTTTGGCATCTTTCTTCATCCAATTGACCATTACCACTCTCAAATCTTTATCATTAGGTTCGACGCAACTTTTGAGTATTTGTGCTTTAGTCCCCAAACTTTGGAACTCTTACAATTTAGCCATTATCTCCAAATTTGTTGACTTTTGCTTATTTTCTTCAATATCACCAACTTACATCACGACATTAAAAAACACATAAAAACACTTTAAAACTTTCTCAATGGTAACAAAATAATGAATTAAGTGGCAGAAATATCATGAGTGTGAAGTACTTATCACACCGCCTATGGGAAAACTCAAGTAAACCATGAAATTTTGTTATATTTACGGAATTTTTAGTGTCCAATAAAAAATGAATCCTGGAGAGAAAATCCGAAATGGAAGATTATCACCAGAGATTAAAATCAAAGGATACAACAACGATGAGCTTTTGAATAGTAATGCTAATCCAAAACGATAGTGAGTGGATACGCTTTGCAAAACAACAAATTAATATTTCTCGTGCTCAACGCCATCACTTGAAGAAAAAGGCATCTATTACCCAAACAATTCAAGAAATGGCCGAGAGCCTTAAGGTACTAACTGCAAAGCTTGCGTCTCTATGTGCAAAAGCTGAAAATTCGAGAGGAAATTGACAAGATAATTCAGGAAAAAAGGGAGAAAAGTATGCTGCAAGCTCCTTTCACGAGAAGAGCATCAGTTTGCAAGTTTCAGAAACTGATGATAATATGATGGAAAGGAGGAGAAAAGAGCGGTACAAGGATAAGTCCGCGATAGGAAGGTGCATGGATGAATTTAAGCTCCCATGATAAGAGATCAACTCACTATTACCATCAAGGAGATCTAAGAGCTAAAAATTATGGCAACACTTCATATAGTACTCTTCTAATGCAGTATGAAGATCGGACGACTAGATCATATGAAATAGATGATGATGAGTGTATACCATTTTTCAAGGGAATCAAAGAAGTGCCAATCCAAGACAATTTTATTCGTCCCATAATGTAACATCTGTTTAAGTATATGACACATGAAACTAAAAAAGGCAAGCCCTGCGCTGAAATACCAAGGTTTTCACTTGACATTAGATGGATCAGCTAGGAGATAATATAGCGAGTTGCCACTAGGATCAATCAAAAGTTGGCTGCAACTAAAGCAAGCATTCCTAGGAACGTTCGCTGGGATTAGAATTGGTTAAGCTCTAGTCGCACGATTAAATAATATGCGACAGGAAGGTGAGTCTCTTAAAAGCTATTTCACACGGTTCAGTGTTGAATTAATAGCTTGTGAGACTATATCTAATGAAAAGGCCAGAGATGCCTTGTGGAATGGTCTGTTACTTGTTACGCTAAAATCTCGTAAGCGTACGGGTTCGTTGTACAAGTTTGTGATGATAAAAGTTATCGTCCCACAGAGAATAAATCTTAATTCTAGTGTATTCGATATATTTACATTCATGATAATAATAAAATATGTTCGATTTATATCTAACTATGTTTTATAACTACAAAAGCAATGAATATTCGTTTAAATTAAATGTGGCGAATGTATTGTGTAGTGGTAACGCACGATTTACTACTCATCATCATTAATGAATCGGAATATGGCAACACTGCAGTCTTAGTATCTCGTAGAAATTCTAATCCCAGAATAAACTTGAAGTCATCCATCTGAACTGCAGACAAGTTTGTCCTTCCGTCGAAAAGACCCGCTTTGAGCAACACAGATTTCTCTACTCCAACTATAGGTTGAGCAGCGGAGTTAATTTCTTTGACTTTTCCACTACCTTTTTCCAGGACAAGTCCGAGTCACTCCACTTCGGTATTTGCGAGGTAGTTGTGGGTAGCACCAGTATATACCATAGTCCTGATTGACCTTCTATTGATCTTCACATTAATGTACATTAGGCATTTGACTCTACAAATACGAGTCTTCGATTCTTCCATCTTTACCTCTTTCGAGAAAACATCATCCTTTTTAGTATCTCGGTGCGATAGTGTATTGCACCGATGTGAGAATGCGCCATTACATCTTCATCCTCTTCGGAGTCGGTCTCACCGTGACAGCTAGCTTGTGGGATATGTTGCTTTGAACTTATTTCGCCACCCGCTAGTTGACAATATGCATTCACCATCCATTACTGAGAGCATTCTGCCACTCGATGAGGTCCTTCACATAAAAAACACATCAATTTAGGAGTGGCATCAAATCTGCCCTCCCTTGCTTTTCTTTTATTCCAATTGTTACTGCTGCTATAGTTTTCTTGACGGCTGTTTTGATAATTCTCTTGAAAGTTACTCTGATGGGTGCCTTGATAGGCTCCTCATAGTGGTGGCAAACAGGCCGAGCGACCTGTCGGCTTGGCCGCTCGGCTCGTGAAAAGAAGGCTCGAGCTCGTCAAATGACGAGCCCGAGCCAAGCAAGCTGCCTCGCTAGGCGAGCCAAGCCCTCCCACAGGCAAGCGGCTCGTGGGCTCGTCCAAGGCGGAAGGTATATCCTATTTTTCTTTTTTAAAGGTTTATTTTTATAAAAAAAAAAATTATGAGCTCGCGATCCGAAGCTCGGCTCGGCCCACAAGTAACGAGCCAAGCTCGTGTGCATACAAGCTTTAGCTTCTCTCCTCAGATTGTCCAATATTAACTTCTTCTGAAATGGCATGGACGGCTTTAACTGTAGAAGACCTGGAATCTAAATCAAGTAATTTAAAATTCTCACCTTCCATGAATGAGAAGTTTTCCTGCCTAATCATTCACCAACCTGGCAATAGATGCATGCGAATTTCTATTTTAGTTGTTTTATATATTTGCTTGGAAAGGATTTTGTGGTAGCCGTGGTGTTTTAAGAATATGACAGAGAATCAGCAAGGTCTTCACAGGCAATTTGATGCTATGGTGGATGATGAAGTCATGTACTCCTTAATAAATTTATTCTTCCTTCCTTGCCAAGTTCTTTCTGGATGCAATTGGTAAGAATCTGTTATATGCAATGTGATACCATCATGACAGGCCTTCCAACAAAATTTTCAACTTGTCATTGACCATCAAGAAATTTTGGCACTCAAAACATTGCTCCTAGGAGTGACACCAATTTAAGAACATGTAAGTCACTCAATTTAAGAACACATAGGGAAAGTATGGAACTTCCAGTGTTCTCCAGTAAGCGTATAAAACAAAGGTTATTATAATATTATTTCCATAACCGGGATTTCTCCAGGTTAAGATCTATAGGCTCCAATAACCAAATTGATGCAGACAGACTTTAGAAAGTTTCTCATAGAGCTTGGCTAGATGGATTTCGTGGTGTGACTTGATGTGGATTAAGTGGTAATGAGGTTGGAAGGTTTGAGAATAATTTTGAAGAACAGTAGGCTTAGTGGAATTTGGAGGTGGTTTTGGGTGCTAATGCCTAATGATAGTACGTAGAATACTGCCGGTTTAGGTTGTATTATTAGAATTAAAAGATTTTTCCTTCTTGAAAAATGACTTGAACTCTAAATAGGAATCTTAAAGATCCGAAGTTTTTACTGCTAAAGGTTATTCTAGATCAAATGTGACTCTCTTTAAGCAAGTAAACCACTTAATTACAATTAAAATAAGATCCATGAACTGTGAATGTATATTCATGCCCAACAATAATTAAAAGACCAAATATAGATTTGAGTTTAACATAATAAATACTACATAATAAAGCTATAGTGGCTTATTTGATTAACAGAACAACGTGTTGCATTCTAAAATCACTAAAATTTGTGGAATCCTCCAAATCGTAGAATTTTAAATTTGCCCTTTTTGTTGCATGTGTTCCTAAATAAATTTAGTCTAAATTGATGCAATCTTTGTAATCAATGCTGCCTGCATCCACTTGTTTTTCTTTTTCTTTTGTGCATAATCTGATTAAGTGCTGAAGATAGATCTTAAGAGTCTTCAACCATCTTTCAATTTTTCTTGTTTGGTATGCAGGGTATTTTGTCCGCTTCAGTTCTTTCGATTATTCCCTTGATTCGTCCTTATCAGTGGCAGAGCTTGTTAATGCCAGTATTTCTCAGTTCTCATCTGTAATCTTTCTTCAAATGTTTTGATCGTGCCCTGTTGGTTATTTCCTTTAGCTTCTCATTTAAACGTACTCCTAGATACCTTTGCTATGTCCTTGGTATATTTTCTGTTTTTTCACACATTCATTTGCAGGTTTTGCCAAACGACATGCTGGACTTTCTGGATGCACCAGTTCCTTACATCGTGAGTTTCTTGTAATCTTGGCTGTTTTTTACCATGCCAATTTTGTGTTCCAAATGTTATCAACTCTCGTATGATTTATTAGAAACTGCATTTTAAATTGAGAAATTAAAATGAAATATTGCAGTGAACTGCTGCTTCAACTCCATATTGCGTCACTTTGTAGAGATCTTTTCTTTTTCTTGGTTAATGTAATGCTATAGACTTACTAAGTCATTTGGTATGAGATATATTCTAGTTGCATGATTCATCTCTAATCTTGTCCCGAGAACGAAATCCACATTTTTGGCATGTGACACCTGTTTCACATTCACTCAATCTCGTAATACCAGGCTCAAGACAATTTAGTGACTTGTAAATTATTTCCCCATTTTTAAAATTTCAAGTAAGAGCATTCTATATCCTCAATGTTTATGGAATATATCCAAGGAAGCTGAATTTAAAAAAAAAAAAAAGGATGTCGATATCTAAATTCTTCATGTAATATCTGCAATAAAAATATAATAGTTTCTTAGATACATTTTTAAGGAATTCTACTGCTCTGTTTATTGGATTTAGCATCCTTAATAATGAAAATTACACGATCTGAATCTGATGATTATTAGTATCCTTAGTGATATAAAATGTCCATATACACTTTTAGTGGGGTAGGAAAGGCATTATACACCCCTCTCATCAATCCTCATACTAGATACAGCAGCCCAAATAACACACCCAGATGAGTTCCATTGTACAGAACTAAACTAGTTTACATTGCTCATGCATTCATAGAATTTCCCACCATTGTGAACATCATCACGAGGATAAATCCCATAATGTGTGAGTAACTAAAGTAACCTGGCTCAGTAAAATGGCTGGGTTTTCCTCTCTTAACTCTGGAACCAATTGCGTTTCAGATAGTTGAACAGTTGCAAACCTCAACATCATGCTGAAAATTATTCGTTATTTTATTCAAATAATCAAGTATAAAGTGAATTTTATTTAAATAACTAATTACTTTTAGAGAACTAAAATAGCAATTATGTTTTCAATAAATAATAAATTTTGATATAGTTTGTTTGCATAAGTGCTTGTTTGATAAAGCTTTTGTTTACTGAAATGTTGGTCGAACTTCATTTTTAACCACACATTATTGGACCCACAAGAGATCCATCAACTTTTATCAACTTGTATCAAGATCACACAGCCCTTAAATCTCTCAAAATAATATTCAATCTTATATAGTACTTTAGTTTGACTAATGAAGACATGGGCATCACCAGATATAACTGTTGATGCTTTCCTTTAACAGAACCCATTTATTGACCTAAAGATTCGAAGCACTGTACTTATATCTTACCTATATTTTATCTGTGACAAATCAGATAAAAGTGTCAGAATGTTGTGTTCTTCATCTTCTGCCATTTCGTATTTTATTCAGTTTAATGGACATCTAACTGCTTGGTTAGCTAAATCTATTGATACTTCTAGGTACATATTAAGTTGATCATCTGCAGTCACTATCAGCAGTAAATTGTACCATTTTATGATTGTACTTGAATATTTGACCATGCACGCATATTCTTCTTCACTTAGACAACCTATCTGCTCCTTGAGCAATTGAAAAAGTATGAGATGTATTAGTATGCTCGTAATTGACATCTAAAGGTTGTCTAATTATTCTTGCATTGTAACTCTAATGTAGCATGTAGAATTTAGTCTCTTTTAATTATTTATGCATTCATGCATGGAGCGGTAGTTAACACAGCTCTTTTGTGAATCTCTTCTGAGCTTCATTGCAAAAGCATTCAACCTCTGTAATGCTATTTATGCTTTGGTGTTTGGCTTTCTGGAAATGGATTTTTAGTGCTTAGTCTGTAATTTTAGTAATGACAGTGTGCTGCGTTTCACTTTAGTCTGCTCTGTGAATTTGCTTAGTTTTAGTTATTGCTTCTTCAAAGTTAGTTTGTTCTTTGAGCAGGTAGGCATAAAAAGCAAGACAGTTGAACTACAGTCTAAACTAACGAATGTCATTCTTGTGGATGCGAACAAGAACCAGGTGCGTATTGTTAGTGTGGTCATACAAGATATGATTATGCCAATTGAATTGTGATGTTGATCTACTGCAAAGCATGTATACTACCAGAGAGAATATGGGAAGACCCTGAAAATTTTTGCCAAGAGGATATTTACCATGAACAAATATGCAGGAAATTAAATTATTTGAAGACATGAAATCTAGTTTCACTGAATTCATGAGTTGGGGAAAAAATAAAATAGTTTCCTCCATATAGGTGTAGAAACTGAAAAACATTGGAAAATTATTGTATGTAAGGTGCAGGATTCTTGTGTTTGATAGAACATATTAAACTCGATTGGTTACTTTATATGAACAATTTGGTACTTCCAAGTACAATCCTCTCCCTAGATTATAAAAGAAGCTCAAGTTTAGCTTAAGGGAAGCAATTACTCTTGTAGATACTTCCACTGGTCTTTACCTTCTGGGATCCCTTAATGCCTAGAAAGAAATTATTAAAGGTTTGGTTCAGTTAGCTTTGTACTTGAAATAATATCACCATTTTTCAAGCTTAAAATCAACATTTGGTGACACCAATCTTGGGCCTTTTAACATTTATTTTTCTTTTCGTAATATTTGGGTCCCAGTGGAGCACCTAGGAGAACTTCTTCACATAGTTTGAATTGTCATTTTGAGTATGACTACGACTGCTTGCGACTATAAGAACATCTCCAAGATACTTTTATTTTTAAAGGGCATATTTTGCAATTTAGAGAGCATTTATAAATTTAAAGAGAAAAAAAAATTTAAATACTCCAACATCTTTATCTTTTACATTTAATTTTATCACTCCCAATATATTTATTATTTTTCCCTATGTTTTGTTTTCTCCAATTTTCCTCCAAATTGTTATATTATTTCCCTCTATATTTTTTGTATATACTATTTTGTTGGGTCAATATATGGAGCATTGAAAATTGGAATATTTTAATGCATTTAATTATAGAGAGAACTCACTCTATTTTAAAATGTTAATTTGAAGAGCCTATTGGAACATAATTTTAAGGGTTGGCTCTTTAAAATAGAGAGCTGTTCACTTTTTGGAGATGCTCTAAATACTTAATCCTCTAATAGCTTACTGATGCAATCTTTTCTAAGTCTTTTTAACATTTATAAAAACATTTCACTTCACCATAGCTACCTAATCTCTCTCTCTTTCTTTTCTTTTTTCTTTTTTTGTTATGTGTTGAGGCGATAGGTGAAATCACCAGCTATACCACAGTTGCCTCAACATAGAGAACTGTATTCATCCCTTAGTCCTTACCATTCGAAGCTAGTAGGAGAAAGTTATTTGGGGAAGAAAAGGCCACTTCATGAATGTACTGACGTGCAGGTATGTCGTTGAACCATAATTCTTCTTTTCCTGCTCTTTCTCTAAATAAGTTAAGATTTATGGATTTCTTACCTTAGATTTTAATTGATTTCTTAAGATTTATGGATTCTCATTGATTTCATAAATAAGTGTTGTTCTATTTATTCCAGCAGGTATTTAAGTTTCCTTCATAATATTAACAATTTTTGATAATAAAGAAACTACTTTCATCGTTCTGTTCTATGGTGTATAGGTTAAGAGTTTGTCCTTACCTTCAAACTGTTAGGTAATTGCCTCAAAAGTNCCATAATCTTATCCTTCCTCATTGTTAGGTAATTGCCTCAAAAGTCAAAGCTGTAGGACTTCTACTGCAAATAATATTAGGTCATTAGTTATCCTATAAATAGTTGAGGTAGTCTATTATTTTAGTGTGTGGCCGTGTGATCTGTGAGAAGAAAAAGAGAAGAAAAGTGGGCGACTGAATATACACGCTCACTGGCACTGCTGCTGGAAATTGGTAGGTTGCATTGGAGTTTATATATACATATTCAATTGGTTGGAATTGGATTTCATAGTCAAACTTTGCGGCTTCCTTGTGTTTGCTTGTTGCCGGTTTATATATATAAATCAGAATGGCAGCAGCTTTGAGGAATACAAAGTAGTTGGCTGGAGAAAATTGAAGAGAGATATATATTGTCAACCATTGCGGCTGGAAAGGCAGAAGCGGGCAAGTTCAAGAATTTTTCTTCTGTAATATTTTGGATCTGGTTGGTGAGTGAGAAATTCTATATGATTGTAATAATTTTTCATATAGTGGAAAAGTTTTGACGGTCCGTTTAAATTTGTGCGTTGTATTATTTATTTTTCTTGTTTGCTATTATTATTCCGAACAACAAAAGATCCTGCGGGTTAAGTAGAAAAGGGGAATTGGTGTGAAATTCCCCAACA